GACACAGAGAGACAAAGATACAGAGACACAGAGATACAGAGAGACAGAGATACAGAGACATGTCTGAGCAGGACGCTTACCTGAGGTCAGTTCACTTCACCACACTCAAAGAGACAAAGATACAAATTCACAAGAACACAGAGAGACTCAAAGATTCTCTAATGTGATCACTGAGCTTTTTATTAAATTGCCTTGTGGGGTTTTTACTTTTCTACTCTTTGCTGAGCACTTGGTCACTTTATTAACGTTCTTTATAAATAAAGTTTGTTGTGTGTCTCTGCAGTAAGGTGAAGAACAGGAACTTGTATCTGGCCACGTTTGTGTCCGTCCTGGGGCCGATGAGCTTCGGCTTCGTGCTGGGCTACAGTTCTCCGGCTCTTCCCGAGCTCATGCAGATCTCTGACCCGCGGCTGCGGCTCGACGACGTCCAGGCCAGCTGGTTCGGGGTATGACATCATGTGTTGATGATTCACTGAAGCTTTTTCTAGCGTTTTATCAGCAGAGTTACATCATCACCCACAGCCTCTGTTGTCATGGTAACACAAGTCCAGTGGAGGTTTGTGTCGATTGTTCCTGAAATATTAAAGTGATTATTCGAGGCAGATGAAGTTTTGCTCTTCGGACGTCTGGATCTTAAAGTAAACACAGGAACTTTCTTTCCTCTAGTTTGTTGCTGAGGTTTTTTTGTGGATGTTAAAGTTCTGCAAAGTTAAAAAGTCTGTGGTGAAGCTCCTCCCACAGAAAACACACTTCCTCTTTGTGATGTCACGCGCCCTGCAGCGACCTCAGTTCATTTAATAACTTTAAATATCAAAGTCGGTCGAACACAAATGTGAAAAGCACGTTGAACTCCAGAGGTCGTTTCCTGAGGTGTCGTGTGTTTCAGTCCATCGTGACGGTGGGAGCGGCGGTGGGCGGCCTGCTGGGCGGCTGGATGGTGGAGAAGATCGGCAGGAAGCTCAGCCTGATGTTCTGCTCGCTGCCCTTCGTCTTCGGCTTCACCATCATCATCGCGGCGCAGAACGTGTGGATGCTGTACCTCGGCAGAACGCTCACCGGCCTCGCCAGCGGAGTCACGTCGCTGGTCGTCCCGGTAAGAAGAATTGATTGTTGATGTTGAGACGTTGCTTCTGTCTCCAGACAATTGAATGCACTTTGAAAATTGAATTAAATGAAACTCAGCTGAGTTTACTTGTGTATCTGAGGTAGTTCTACCTCATATCTGAGTATTTTAAAACCTCTGTGAAGCAAAAAATCTTTGTTGTAGACAAACAACCTTCAACTGAAACACTGCGACAACTTTCTGATTGTCAGTGAATCAAATTAGTTTCTGTATCATGATGAATTTCAAACATTTGGTTTTTGAACATGAATCAAGAACTTAGTTCTGAGCTTCGAGTAATTTGAACATTTTCTCTTTTTTCTGATGTTTTATAATCCAAACAATTCGTCAGGAAACAAATCAATCTTCGTTAAAAAAGAATGAATCAGATAACGTTTCTCGTTCTGTCTTCTCCTCCTCTCACAGCTGTATATCTCTGAGATGGCACACGAGCGGGTCCGCGGCACGTTAGGCTCCTGTGTGCAGCTCATGGTGGTGCTCGGCATCATGGGAGTTTATCTGGCAGGTATGTACGCTCTGAAAACATTAGGCGTCTTTGTACTCTGTCATTTTATAACAGCTGACCAGTGATGGTTGATAGAAACAGATGTTTCTGAATGTTGCCTAACCAGGCGACATTACCTCCGCTGAAAGTTTCCACGTGTCCGGTGGTTTGTTTCTCAGATTTCCTCTAAACTTAGTGGAACGATGAGGTCACTTGATAACTCAGTACATTTTGATCTGTTTCACTTCTGACTGATTCCTCAGAGAAGAACTCGTGGATCCTGATGAATTCATTCAGAAGGTGTCTATGAGTCTGTGTGGTTTGCTGCAGCTTGACGGGATTTAAGGGACTTGGTCCTGGTGGAGGTTTGAACTCTGAGTGATCTGGAAATGAAAAGCTGTAAAACGATGCAACATTGAATTTTATAACATCCACCACCACGACAGCAGCTGCTCAAAACAGAGTTACAGAATCTGTCCTCTTATCTGTCTGTCTCTCACAATCTGTCCTCTTATCTGCGATGTGTGTCTGTCTCTCACAATCTGTCCTCTTATCTGCGATGTGTGTCTGTCTCTCACAATCTGTCTGAAATGTGTTGATTTACTCTGTGATGTTTGAAGAAGCTTCTCCTGACGAGACGAGCAGGAGCTGACTGTCATGTGACCCGATCGCCCTCAGATACGATCACATTCACTCCCTCTCTGTCCGACCTGTGTCACACAGCGGCTCCTCTCCCTAATCTCGTTAACTGCATGCCCATCGTGTTTGGTCACGTGACACTGGTGGTCTCATGACAGTCGTGGTGCTCCGACCACGCAGCGGGCGTGAGTGGACTCAGACTCAGTTTGAATCATGTTAAAGGTCTCTCTGAGGCTGTTGGAGCAAATGATGATTTAAAAGTAGGAAGTTAAACATTAAACTGTTTATGGTTAAATCAAGTTCAGAGATCAGATGAACCATTAAACTTGAGTCCTTGAGTTTCAAGTCGTATATATTTGGTTGTATTTGGAAGAAACAACTCTTTAATACACTGGACAAATATTTTCTTTTTATAGTTTTTAAAAGATTAATTTTATCTTGCGTCTCAAAGAAGAGAAGTCGATCACTATCTGGAATAACCTGACGCACAATCCAGCTGCTGTTCAGCACAGACCTCCACACTGTGGTCGCTGTGGCAGATTCAGTGGAACAATCAGATCAGGGGAAACGTATATTTTTAGAGGCAGCAGATGAAGATATTCGTGAGGAAACTTGGACGTGACAAAGCTCCTCTGTGTCCTGCATGAGGCGGCCGCCGACCAGTGGCAGCTCGTGGTCGTTCGTTAAAGCCGAGGGACGACCGCTCCTTAAATTCATGCTACTTAAATTATTTTAGTAGAACTCAGTAGAGCTCCGACGAGTCCCAACAAACCACATTTAAATTCAGACTTGTTATTTGCATCTGCACCAAATTACACAAACTCATAAATATTACAAGCACTTGGACAAAGTGAGCAGAGATCAGAGTTGGGGCTGCTGAGAGAAAGTGTGAGTAACGATGTCATATGAAACAGTGCACAGGCTAAAGGTCAGGATCCCATATGATCCCGTACTTCTGGATTTCAGAAGTAGACAGATGTCGTAACTTTCTGCTGATGAGCAGTAAATCAGAAGCAGCTTCAGCTCCGTGTGAACTTCTTCTGCAGGTCTCTTCCTGGACTGGCGCTGGCTGGCGATCTGCTGCTCCGTCCCCCCGACGCTGCTGATGGTCTGTATGTGCTTCATGCCTGAGACGCCTCGCTTCCTGCTGTCACAGGGAAAGAGGCGCGAGGCCGAGGAGGCTCTGCGCTTCCTGCGGGGGCCGGACGCCCCCGTGGAGTGGGAGTGCGCTCGCATCGAGAACGCCTGTGACGAGCGGGTGAGTCTGAGGTCGAACTTTAAAGTACGGTGAGGATAGAACAGAGTGAGAGGTCACATCTGACCACGACAACACCGCTGGACGTAGACAGTTCAGGTCAAAGGTCAAACAGTCTGGTTCTGTCTGTGACAACTGTCCTGTTTGTCTCTCAGGGCTCGAGTTTCCAGATGTCCGACCTGAGGGACCCCGGCATCTACAAGCCGCTGATGATCGGCATCATGCTGATGATCTTTCAGCAGTTTACGGGGATCAACGCCATCATGTTCTACGCTCAGAACATATTTGAACAAGCTCATTTTAAGGTAAGAGGGTTTTTCAATTGTTCTTTATATTCACACGTTTACAAAAGAACTGGTTGATAAACTTTTTAGATTTCAGGTCTCAGTCTTTTTATAGAGATGATTACTCATTCAACTGATTGATGCTAATAATAATGTATATTATAGACAATAATAAAGATGTGGATATGTTTCAGGAGAGCGACCTGGCGTCTGTGATCGTGGGTCTGATTCAGGTCGTCGTCACTGCGTTGGCGGCGCTGATCATGGACAAGGCTGGAAGGAAAGTCCTTCTCATCATTTCTGGTATTTTAAAGCTCAGTCGTTCTTTAACCTGGTCTGATTTTAATTTAACACCGTGATCACAGATTGTTTTGGTTTGTCCTCTCGTGATAATCAAGGTGTTGCCATGGTGATCAGCACCACCGCGTTCGGAGTTTACTTCTACCTGATGTCCAAGCTTCACGATGGCCCCGCCTTGCTGAGCCTCCTTGGTGAGGAGCCCCACGCTGACCTGGCCTGGCTGGCCCTCGCCAGCATGGCCGTCTTCATCGCAGGTGAGAGCGCCGCTCACACGCAGCTGTGACGCATCAGCATCATGGAGAATGTCCTGTTCTCTTCATCCCTCTTCTTCCTCTCTTCTTCATCCTCGATGTTTTATCTCAGGAATGTTAGAGTTGAAATTAATCTCGTGTCGTGTGTCTGTGACCATGAACCGGTCAGAGGGGGACATTTTAAATCTGCAGAGCTGATGAGCTCGGGATTTTTGTGTGTTGGCAGGTTTCGCTCTGGGCTGGGGTCCGATCCCGTGGCTCGTCATGTCGGAGATTTTCCCCGTCAAAGTGAGGGGGGTTGGCAGTGCCATCTGCGTCCTGACCAACTGGAGCATGGCGTTCGTCATCACCAAAACCTTCCAGGATATGATGGTGAGTCTCAACACCGCGGGGAACTCCGCTCTAGTTTTCATCTCGATCATGAGAAAGTTGACTCAACGTAACATGAGAACTTTTATTCTTACAAACAAAATGCAGAGTTAAAGGTAAATTCATTTGCATCGCACCTTTAAACAACAAAGTAATTCCAAACGCTTTACATACGACATCAAAAAGATAAAAATATAAAGTTCTGTGGAAAAGCCTTTGAAACTAAATAAGAGTAAAAGAAAAGAGCAAATAGAATAAAAGTGATTCAAAGGTAGAATAAGTTCCATTAGTTGTGTTTCGGTCTCAGTCTGATCCGTCCTCGTCTCTGACCTCTTACAGAGTCTTCTCACCAGCGCTGGAACCTTCTGGTTGTTCGCCTCCATGTGCATCCTCAACGTCATCTTCACCATCGCCTTCATCCCCGAGACCAAGGGCAAGACGCTGGAGCAGATCGAAGCCACGTTCAGAGGAACCTCAGGTCTGTGAGCTGAACCAGCAGCTGGATGGAAATCCTCAGCGTCCTAAGAACTTTCAGGATTTACTGATAAACACAGTTTGAATCTTTCACAAACGGCAACAATAGGTTTTTTAAAAATGGACTAAAACGCTTGAGTCAAAGCGAGCGGATAAAAGGCCTCGGGGGGGAAACTGTGACCTCTGAGTTGGAAGATGGTGCCGATACCCCTGCTACCTCCAAGAACATAACTCGACACTGCCCCCTGCAGGCCTCACCTCTTAATTGACACATGCAGGTTTAAATTCTCTGGTGTGTGGGACAGTCTGACATTTTTGATATATGCACTAAAATGTGTTGTAAAGCTGGAATTCATGAACACAGTCAAAGTTTAATGTGACACACGGGTCTCTGCTCTAAACTATTTAACTTTGAATGGTTTTTGTAAAAACAAAAGAGACCGAGAAACGGCATTACAGTTTAATGGATTCCAGAGTTTTTTATTGTGGGGAAGGAAACTAAAATGTTCATAGATGTTGTTTGTAATTTCTTCTCGGTTACTTTATATTCTCAGTCTGTTGAGGTTCCAGTTCTCATGTTTGATCTTAAAATTAAATTTTTTTTATCCATTTTAAATTCTGTTTTTTAAAAATCTCATGCGATGCTAAAGCATCAGAGAACAGCAGGGACTTCTGAAGGACAGATGCGTCTTTGTGCAGGAACAAAATCAAACAGACTGAGTTGGCTGTTTACACTGTTGTTATGTAACTGTGTCATTTATTTCATCAGAGTGAAATTAAAAAAGATTATGTGATTATATCAAACACTATCATCAATAGATTTAAAACTGTAGCGATAACATGGATGTGTTTTTTTAAGTGTTCTCTTGGGATAATCTTTTTAACTTTTATGATCTGAAAATTGATCATCCAACTTTTACAGTTTATATAATTCTTAATAATTATGTTTGTTCTGAGTTCGGTGAAGCTCTGAAGCAGAGACAATAAATAAAGTTCCTGTTGTGTTCGGTCTGAACAGGATCTAATGAAGCTCTTTGTGTGTCAGTGTCTCCACTGTGACTTTCTAAACGTGTGTGAAACTGAATCTTACCGTGAATTGAGTCTGTGAATAAAATCACTGTGGTTTGTGGAACATGTTGATTCGAGGATTTTCAGCTTTAATCGTATTTTAAATCACAGCCTCTACTCGTTAAATGTCAACATGTGATGGACGAAGCAGGAAGACGTTCAAATAAACTGGTCAACAAAATAAACGTTCATTATTATTAGTCATTTAACTCTGGAGTAACGATGCACTGATCTTAAATCCATATATTTACAATGTGAGTCGTATACAACATTATATATTTCTCAATAACTTCAGGTTTTGTGGGTCCACTGTGCAGTAAAAGTCTTTATTCTTTAATTCTTGTCATTATCTAAACTAAAAAATGAACTGTGCTTATAATTTTGAGAAACGCTGCACCGATTTATTTTTATTCCTGATCATTTATTTTTTTTATTATATTAGGTATTAATTATTTCCTGAATTACAATTTGTGCCACAGCCTCGTGTTAATCTAGATTTGGGGATTTTTAGGAGGAAGTGTCTATCCATCTTTTTTCTTTGAAAGTCTGCACCCAATCTGTTTTAGTGAGATGATTATATTTAATATGATTTTCTGTCAGTTGTGATTTGGAGCAGCTCAGAGCTGCAGGGGAGTAAATGGAACCTGTGTTGTGCTTCAGTTTGATGATTTACGCTCATTTAAGTTTGTATTCTTTATTTACTGCACTTCTCGCGGACATGTCTCAGGGCTGAAGGGTTTTCTGGATTCTCGGATTCTCACATTAAATCAAATTAAATTAAAAACATTAAAAACACTTGATACTTTTCTGTGAAGTTTGAATTCTGAGTTTCCGCATAACAGGTTATAAGCCTTTTCAAAATAAAACCCCTGTCTGATAAATCTCGTGGCAAAGTCGCTGATACACGTTGTTCTTGTATTTAGTTGATTTCACTAAAGAAAGATAAAAACATGTGATCAGTTAAAAGATGTGTTTGAGTTTCGTTTTCATATCTAATCCACTAGAGCCGGAACCCGGCGGGATTATTGTGACAGCTGCGCCACACGCGTTTCCGGTGCGCGGTCAAAAGCAGCGGAAACGCTTCCTGAGCTGCCCCCGGTGTCACCTCGCTCTCGGTCCGGGTTCGCCTCCGGTGCGCCGCCGTTGCTCGGGCTCGGAGTCTCGGGGATGATGATGCTGCCGCTGCCGCCGCGGAGGTGATGGAGCTCGGGCACACACGCGGACAAGTGTCGGACACAGTTTGAGACGAAGAGCCGGAGGTCGGAGTCCCGCTCTCCGCCCGGTGCCGCCCGCTGGACGGGCTCTATCTGGAGCTCAGGCCGGAGGACGGTAAAGAAAGTCGGTGACCATGAAGCTGCTGAAGCCGAGCTGGGTGAGCCACAACGGTGAGGACCCGCCGGACCAACTTGGGCTTTTGTTGTCGGGAGGGGCTGGATCCAGGAGGCTCGGTGGCGGAGCTCCACTCCACTTCGACTCGTTTGTGTCTTTTAAACCGGATTAAAGTCAACAAGTATAAAACGCACCCGGTGTGTTTGTCCCCGCAGCCCCTCTGCCATCTTAATGTTTGCTAACCGCAGCTAGCTGGTTAGCCTGTTAGCTCGTCCCGGCTAGCTCGGATGCCCCGTTAGCTTAACTTGCTGAAAGCTCCAAGTTGTTGTGACTCCATCTTAAACTTCGACTCCTCCACGAAGCCGTTTGGTTTTAGTCTCAGCTCTTCGGGTTCACGTGGAGACACTGACCCGCTGCGGGTGAATCCTGGGAGCTGTCAGTCGGTAAAGTTCTCCGGGAGAGGAGTTCAGGTTCAGGGGGAAGCTAACGAGGTCTCACATGGAAGAATCCAGCTGCTTATAAAGAATCTATGTTTTTAAAGTGTTCAGTCCATCTACATTTAAACCTCCAGTAACTAAAAAACCTTCCCAGAGAATCTGGAATACAAACAACCAGCAGGTTAACGGAATAATGATGATAATTATCATAAGTTTATTTCTTATATCAAACATCTCGTATTTCACAATAACAATAAAGTCACGTAATAAGGAAACGATATTCACACAAGTGAAGTACAAATAATAAAACCCAGTAAAATGTAGTAAACATGTTTCGTTGATAAATTCACTCATAGCTGACATATTTAACAGATAACGTGATAATAATGATGATTTGAAAGTCTGTGTTGTTGATACTGACTCGTCTCACACGTGTTTCACAGGCAAACCCATATTTTCAGTTGACATTCACCCTGATGGCACAAAATTTGCGACCGGTGGACAAGGTAAGAGAAATGCTTCACTGGTTTACTGACACTTTTTAAAGCTGGCACTGGATGTTCATCATTATCTGTCATCCTGTGGCCTCAGGTTAGAGATTTATTTTGATGCCCTCCTCCTCCTGTGAGAGGTTTTCAGATAAATCTCCTGAACCTGTAGAAGTGTTTTGGGTGGAGGTCTTATCCTCCGCCTCATGAAACACAAAGTCAGCAGAGTGTGTGTGTGTGTGTGTGTGTGTGTGTGTGTGGGTTTTGTGTTTGTTGTTTTTTCTAAATGTTGGTTTTGTTTTCAGGGGAAGATTCTGGGAAGGTGATGATCTGGAACATGGCGCCGGTCCTCAAAGAGGAGGACGAGAAGAATGAAAATATTCCCAAAATGCTTTGCCAGATGGACAATCACCTAGGTAACCTGCGTTATCTGTAATAGCTGTTGTTGATTCCGATCGTCCTGTTGAGCGTAGAAATGTTTGGTGAGCTGTGATACTTGTTGATCGATCCACCACATGTCTCCAGGTAGTTCTGCAAGTCTTCTCTCTGATTTCTTTGGGTTTATTGAGTAAAATACTATTGTGCTGTTCAGAAATGTCTTGTCTTGTAAAGGACGTGTTCTGACGTCAAACTATGGAAGTTAACACGAGTGTGTGTCTCTGCAGCGTGTGTGAACTGTGTGCGCTGGTCCAACAATGGACTGTACCTGGCATCAGGAGGAGACGACAAGCTGGTCATGGTGTGGAGGAGAGCTGCGTACGTTCAAACACACACTGATCAAAAAACGTTTCAGTTGTTTTTATATGGAAGTAGGGATGTAACGATACACACACACACACACACACACACACACACACACACACACACACAAACAAACACACAAACACCTTTATACTTGAGTGCAAAGTATCGGTTCTTGTCCCTGTTCTGTTCCCTGAAGAGTCAGAGCTGCACGTTTGTGTTGACTGTGTATGTATGTATGTGTGTGTGTGTGTGTGTGTGTGTGTGTCTGCAGATACATCGGTCCGAGCACAGTGTTCGGGTCGAGCAGTAAACTGGCCAACGTGGAGCAGTGGAGGTGTGTCACCATCCTGAGGAATCACACCGGAGGTACGACAACAATAAACAATTCCGATTGTACAGACACTATGCTTCCACAGATTAAACAATGTCCAGGTGATTTACTGTAACACACATAAAACACGTGTGGACACATCACTGATCCTTTTCACACAAACTTGTGTCTTGTAACATTTTGACTTGTGACTTTTCTGTAGACTCACACAGTGATGTCTGTGTGTGTGTTATTTGTAGATGTGATGGACGTGGCGTGGTCTCCTCATGACGTGTGGCTGGCCTCCTGCAGCGTCGACAACACCATCGTCATCTGGAACGCTCGTAAATTCCCAGGTAGGAGACTCTGGTCTGAAATTAGAGCTGCAGCGTCACATCTACAACATAACGCTCGACCGGTTAAATGGAGCCGCGGATCGATCAGAACTGTGTTTTTAAACACGTCGTTACTAGAAAATAATGATATTTAAAAACTGATGTAGTTTCTATGTATTTTCTTTTTATTAATCTGTTCTTTTTGTTTAATCACTATGTTGCTTGTCATTAGCAGGATTTACTGTATTTCTTGCAATCTCATCATCCGTGTCCCTCTGTGTCTTTGTGTCTCCAGAGATGGTGACATGTCTGCGAGGACACACTGGGCTGGTTAAGGGCCTGACGTGGGACCCAGTGGGGAAATACATCGCCTCCCAGGCCGACGACCACAGCCTGAAGGTATGGAGGACGGTGGACTGGCAGATGGAGGCTAACATCACCAAACCCTTCAGCGAGGTACAGAAACACACGTTTTCACTTTGTGGAAACGTTCGTGCTCATCGTGTGTTTTCACTCATTTCTTCAGGTTGATCTGTAGATTCTGTCCTGTTACATGCACAGTGTCACACTCTTCTCTCTCTGTCCCTGTCTGTGTCTCAGTGCGGTGGGACGACCCACGTCTTGCGTCTGTCCTGGTCTCCGGATGGTCAGTATCTGGTGTCGGCTCACGCCATGAACAACTCTGGCCCCACGGCCCAGATCGTGGAAAGGGACGGCTGGAAGACCAACATGGACTTCGTGGGACACCGTAAAGCAGTCACCGTGGTGGTGAGGGAGTTTTACCCTCGTCTTCATTCATTGAAGATTTTCTTCCTCAGATCTTCTCCACGTTCTGACGTTTCTGTTTCTTCTCTGCAGAAATTCAACCCAAAGATCTTTAAGAAGAAACAGAAGAACGGCAGCTCCCCGAAACCCAGCTGTCCGTACTGCTGCTGCGCTGTCGGCAGCAAAGACAGATCGCTCTCAGTCTGGGTCAGTTTTTAAAGTTTACCTCATGGTTGAAGATTTCAGGCCTCACTTTCGTCTTTGGTGATGGTTTTAATCTGCTCAGACAAACAGAGATGATCCATCTCAGTAAAAATATAAACTTATAAAATAAGTATAACCCTCCGGATTCAAATGGACGAACGTAATATTCAAGTTCAGATGAATCATTGAGCAGCTCACACTCGACTTCAGTGTACTGACGTCTTCCCTCTCTCCAGCTGACCTCACTGAAGCGTCCCCTGGTGGTCATTCACGATCTCTTCGATAAATCGATTATGGACATTTCCTGGTGAGTTACGTCAACTACACATACACGAGAATCTGTGTCTGGTTCACTTGTCCTCAGACGTAATACTGTAACGACACCACTCACCCAGAAACAGGACATTTTAAAAACTAAAGATTAAAAGAGTAAAAGTCAATTTGTGTGTGTCAGGACTCTGACGGGTCTGGGGATGTTGGTGTGTTCCATGGACGGAACTGTGGCCTACTTGGACTTCTCATTGGATGAACTGGGAGACCCACTGAGCGAGGAGGAGAAGGTGAGACACACATGATGAACTCACATCAGACACCAACACATTGAATGATCAAATACACAAAATCAACTGTCACAGACGGAGAAGAGATTTTCAGCCACAGTAGCTTCGATAGAAAACTGAAACATAAACTTTACTTTGTGAGCACAGGGGAAACTACTACTCCCACGAAGCTACACTTGTGTCTATTGTTCTATCAAGTACCAAAAGAACCCGTTTCAAAGTTGTCCTCTCTCTTCCTCTGACGTACAGAACAGCATTCACCAGAACATCTACGGGAAGAGTCTGGCTATAACCAGCACTGAGGCTCAGCTCTCCACCACCATCATCGAGAACCCCGAGATGCTCAAATACCAGCAGGAGCGACAGAACTCGGCCCAGGCTAACGCAGGACTGGGCAGCGCTGGGCCCGAATCCTCCGCCCCCAAACTCAACAGCGTCATGAACGGAGAGTCTCTGGAGGACATCAGGAAGGTGGGAGACTGAAATTAATTATCTTCAAAGGGTCAAAGTCAGAAGTCTGAGGCATTTGATAATGAATCATGAAGAACTCATTATAGATTCAAGAATTTTTATCCATTGAAACATTTAGTTTACTGACTGAGTCTCAGTTTCACACACTGAAAGTACTACAGTACTCCACTGTACTACAGTACTCCACTGTACTGTAGTACTCCACAGTACTACAGTACTCCACACTAGATCAATGCTGTCTCTACTTCCTGTGATTGGTCCAAAAGTGAACCAAACCAGGTGTGAAAGAACCTTCAGATATTAGGACAGTAGATGCAGAGAATAGCTGCAGAACCACCAACATCAGAATTGGCACCTGTTCAGATATTCATGGTTTTAAAATTTGAAACACTTTTTCTGATATTTTTGGATCTTGAATTTCTCGGATGTGTCATTTTGTGCAGAACCTTCTGAAGAAACAAGTGGAGACAAGAACCGCAGACGGCAGAAGACGGATCACGCCACTGTGCATCGCTCAGCTGGACACAGGGTGAGACGACATGAAACCCAGTCTGACTCTTTAACGTCGTGGTCAGAACTGATCACCTTCATTCACAGGACCACGGAGCAGTTCATCACTGTCCATCTCTCTCTGCAGGGATTTTTCACCGGCTCTGTTCAACAGCGTTCCCATCCTGCCCTCGGGCTCCTCCATGTCCAATCATCTCACCCCTCAGCTCAGCTCTGACTCCAGCCCAGGACAGGCCTCCTGTCTGGGGCTGAGGCCCGGCAATGACCCAATGCTCACCTCCCCTGCAGTGAGCGGGGCCAAGGGCCTGGAGGACAATAAAGATGGGTACGCAGACAACTTCAGTGTGATTTTCTGTTCTCGTCATTTTTCATGAATATCGCTCTTGATTTCCTTGTCAACTTCCTTCTCTTCATCTTGTTCCAGTGTTAAATCCACTCTGCTGCTCACTTCTGCCTCCAAGATTGAGCCCATGAAAGCTTTGGACTCCAGGTTCACAGAGAGGTCAAAGGCCACGCCGGGGGTCACGGCCGTCATCACCTCCATCTCTGGACTAGTGCCTCTAGACAGGTCTCAGTTCAAGTGAAGTACATTTAAAATGTCATCAATGTGAGGTAGCAGAACTTTGAAAAGAGAAAAACCTGTTTTCAAAACAAACTGAGACATTTCTGTTTGTCCATCAGGCCCAAAGACAGTATCTCTGTCCTGAAAGACGTAAAAGCCAAAGAAGAAACCAGCAGCGACAGCGAGGACAAGATGGCCGCCATCAACAAAAACCTGTCGTTCAGCAAGAGGAAGCCGGAGCTGCTGATGGACGCAGCAGAGGTGGTGGAGAAGAGGAAGAAGGGACGGCCCAGGAAAGACAAGATAGCCGCTCCCATTGCCCAACCCTTCACTCAGGTAGAGACGGGTGGTCCGGTAAATTATCGAAGAACAAAAGATCCATTTGTTCCTTTGAAAAACATTAAAGTGAGAATGTGTGTAGCTTGTGGAGATTTTATTACGTTAATAAAAATAATTTTTAAGAACAACTGTAAATTGAGTAGAAAGTTGTATTTAAAAGTCTCGTTCAAGTTTTAGGTGGCGGGTGCTCTGGGAATAGATGCGTGGCGCTCCAGAGAACGATAACGAGTGTGTCGTGCTTCCTCTTCCTGTCAGGTGACTCCTCCAGCAGAGCGGGAGCCGACCAGAGTGACGGCTGCTCCAGCTCCTGTCGCTGTTCTC